GTTTTTATTAAAAAAATTAAACTTTTTAATAAAAACACAGGCAAATTTGCCTGTGTTACAATTTAAGGGATAATAAATTATTATATTTTTAAACTTGAATGAAATCCAAAGTACTCGAACTTTTACCAAAAACATACTCAAAATAAAGTTATATAATTGGATGAAATTCAAAATACTCGAACTTTTACCGAAAACATACTCAAAATGAAATTATATAATTAGATAAAATTCAAAATACTCGAACTTTTACCGAAAACATACTTAAAATGAAGTTATATGATTGGATGAAATACAAAATACTCGAACTTTTACTGAAAACATACTCAAAATGAAGTTATATGATTGGATGAAATTCAAAATACTCGAACTTTTACCGAAAACATACTCAAATGATTATAAATTTTCAAAAATATTTAATATAAATATATCTTTATTAATAATATACTAGAAATATTAATTAAAATTTAAAGTACATTTCCCAATAATACGTAAATTAATCTCATCTTGAATATTTAAATCAATAATACTATCTTTAGTATCTAAACTAATTACATTAATTTTTTGTTTTTTATTATTATTTTCTTTATTATTAACTTTTCTTTTTTTAATAACATCAACATCTTGACTAGATTTCGAATTCTTTCTAGTTAAAATAACTTCTTGAGTTTCTTCTTTAGTAATATAATCATCTTTAGTAAAATCTTCAATTCTAACATGTTTTGGAACTTGAATAATTGAAGTTTTATTATTTTAAGTAATTAAAGTATTACAACTATTAACATTTTTTGTAATAATTCTTTCTTTTTCTTTTTCTTGATTAATTTTTTTGATTTGTTTTTTTTTTTCTTTTTGTTTAGACATCGCTAAATTATATTCTTGTTTATGATGTTTAGCAAAATGATTTTTAAGATTTGTTAAATTAGTATTGGTAGAATAATTTGCTTTACATAATTCACAAATGATATGTGTTTTGAGAGCATTTTTACAAAAATATTCATGAATTTCATAAGTGTTTCTCATTTTGTTAAAATATTTTTTAATAAAATATGAATAGTATAAAATATTTATATAAAATTTTCTAAGAATAAAGAATTTTTGAATATAAATTCGAATGAGAAAATTTTCGAGTAGATATCCAAATAGGGTATAAAGTAACCAACATAAAAAATAGAAATCCAAATAGGGTATAAAGTAACCAATATAAAAAGAATTTCCAAGTAGAAATCCAAATAGGGTATAAAGTAACCAACATAAAAAGAATTTCTGAGTAGATGTCCAAAAAGAGTATAAAGTACTTAACATAAATATCGTAACTAAAAAAATTAATATCTAAGGAATTAAAACACTTGGAATTTTTTTCCACAATGAAAAACATCTATAAAAACCAAGAAAAAATACCATGAAACAACATCAAATCATTCTTTGATTTGATAACGACTACAAACTTTCCAAGTAAGCTAGTCATAGAAACAAAAGTTTCATTTTGAAATATTTTGTTTCTAAGATATTGAGAGATATTGTAACACATTTTGTTCATTTCTTTCCTATTAAATATAAAATTGTTCATGAATCTTTTATCGTAAAAAATAATATTTCTTGGTGAAATATTGATTTTGATTGTTCATATGTTATTACATATGCTAAAAAAAAACAAAAAGAAAAATTCGATATATTAGAACATAGTCAATATATTAAATATTTTGATTATTTTCAATGTAAATGTAAAAAAAAAAATCGTGAATTCCATCCTTATCGATGGCAATATAATAATCGTCACGATGATAATAACTGTCCTTTCTTTAAAAGATATAATTATTATAAAGTGCTTCAAACTGTTGATCCAGAAAAAAAATATCAGAAAGAAGAAAAACTTGGTCGTCTTAACCAAAAAGGCTCTCTGATGAGATTTAAAAACTATTTTCGAACATATAAACTAGGTTATGATATTTTTTTTTGAGTAAAAAATTTTAAAGATACAGGTACAACGATTTATAAGGATAAAGTGAAACTTTTATGAGATTTTAAACAATATATTTTCAGAAAAGGTAAAAAGAAGAAATTAGAAAAAATTATTAAAGATGTTGATATTTTAGTTAGTAATCGTATAACACAAATTGAAGAATATAAACTAAAATCTCCTAAATATCAACTACAATCTCCTTCTATTCAGTCTTTACCGACCGAATAGAATTTTATTTCAGTAATGAATAATTCATTTTTACATCGAATCAAATATTTATATTTAAAATTTTATTTTTTATTAATTATTAAACTTCATTAAAATGTGTAATCATATTCAATTTTGTATCGATTTTAATATTATTACTCAAGAATATATTAATACCGAAATTAAAAGTTTTAAATTATTTCAAAATTTTTTAAATAAATATCGATATTTGTTAAAATTAACTACTTGATATAATTATTCAGATTTAAAAAAAACTATAACTTTAGAAGATCAAGTTTTACAATTATTATTGATCACTAAAAAAATTAAACAACAAATACATCCATTTAACGAATCATTGTACCCAATAATTGAAGAAGAGGAAGAAATCTAATCAGTTGAATACCAATTAGAAATTTAATTAAACATCAAAATGATACAAATCAATATTGCGATTAATGGACCAACAGTATCTGGTAAAACAACTGTTGGAAAATTTATAGCAGAAAAACTTCAATATCAATTTATTAATACTAGAATTTTTTATCGTTATTTGGGATATTTAAGTTATCAGCAATTAAATAATACCTCAGTATATAATATACTTGAAATTTTTAATAATAATTTAAAACTCAACTATTCTTTTAATAATATTACTAAAATAATCAACAATCTTAATGAAGAAGATTATTACTTAATCGGAAGACAAGGTTCGAAACTATCAGAAAATCAAGATATGCGTCAGTTAATCAATCAACATATTCGTCAAATAACAAATGGAAAAGGATTTGTTGTCATTGGTAGAGATGTGATTTTTAATATTCTACCTGATGCTGAAGTTAAAATTGTTTTATTTGCAAATTTAGATACTAGAGTTTTAAGATGACAATATCAACTAAATTTAACAAATACAAATGATATTTTTTTAGATATTTTGAATCGTGATTGCTCTTCCTTTAAACTTATTGAAGAAGCGAAAAAGGTTTCTAAAATAATTGATACAACAAATTTAACTTTAGCTGATGTTATAGATACTGTTTTAAACAAATATTTCATAAAACTTTTAATATTAGATATAACAAATATATTCGTTTCATTGTTATTATTTTTATTTTATATTTTATTAAAATTATCAATAAATTTATAATCTAGTTAGTCATATGTTGACCAACTAGAATTTTATTTGCATAATAACAAAATGTTTTCAATCGTTGTTCAAAATAAAAGAAAAGATCCTATTCCTGTTAAAAATATCAAAGAAAATAAAAAAACAATTAAAAAACAAAAAAATAATAATGAAGCAATTGAAGCTTATATTGAGATGAAACCTTTTAAACTTTCAAGTAAAGTTGATAGATACGCGTATAAAACAGCATTTCCAGAAGCTGAAGAGAGATTGAGTTTTATGAGAAATTTATTATTATATTATATAGCTTGTGTTAATGAGCTTGATAATATTGAAAATCTAATGCCAAAAAGAAGAAATCATCATCTTTATTTCAAAGAAAAATTTTTTAAAGAAAAGACTTTAAAGGGTCTCCAAGTTGAAGCAACAATAGCTGTACAAAATTTAAAGAAATCTATCAAAGAGCTTGAAAATGAATTAGATTCATATTACGCGTCAAAAAATGAATAATTTTTTAATATTTTGTATTTATTTTTTTTTTTTATAAATTATATATTTTATTTATTCAGTTTAACATCGAATAAAAATTTATTTACATGAGCAAAATGCCTAAATTAAAAAATAATTTACGTTAATTAAGCAAAAGATGAAGTTTTAATTTTCATATAGTTTTCTTTACAACGAATAATGAAACAATACTTATTCGAAAAAGCCCTAGACTTTTAATGAAACCTAAACCAAATTATAGTTTAACACAACAATATTTTAAAAAGAAATCTTTAAAACTAAATAAAACTGATAATGAAAAATATACATATGATATTATTATAAATCCAGACACTTCTTCAGAATCAAATTTTTCCGAATCATTATATACAACAGATAGTGGTTTCATTGTAAAAGATATTCAAAAAAATAATTTTAGTTCAATATATATTACTAAACAGAATGGTGCAATAGTAGAAAATAATATTTTTTTTAGCGATGAAGAATTAGAAATCGATAATAGCAATGATGATTTAATTACAGAAGAAAAAGCATTATTTAATATAGGATTATATAAAAATATAAACTATTAGTTTTTTTTATATAAATATTGTATTTTGTTATTTTTAATCAATTATTTTTTTAACCGATTAAAATTTATTTGCGTAATATAAACATGAAAGAATATACCTTTGCAAAAACTAATTATCAAATATTGGATAGTTTAATCTCATCTTACTTATCTTTAAAAAATTCTGTCAAAGCTATTGATAAATACGGATTCACTATCGATATTAAAACAATTAATACTCAAATTCAAACACAAATTGATATAAATTTGAATTTAATAAAACAATATAAAGAAGTCATAGATTGATTCGAACAAAATATTAGAGAATTTATATTATGTTTTTTGGTTGAAAAAGATACTAAAAAGGTTCAGTTATCTAGATGTATTGATCCAAAAAAAGATTATTGTGGTCTTAATCAACCCGTTTGTGGATTTAAAAAAAAAATTAATAAAAGTTTTGAAGATTGTGTAAGATGTGAAGTGTTAGAAGAAATGAATATTGTATTGGATAAACTTTTTTATATTTGTCTTCAAGAAGGATATAAAGAATTTCCAGATGGAAAAACCTGTCTTTATAGAACAGCAATATATTTTTCTATTATTGATGGTGTAGTTCTTCAACGAATAGAACCTGAAAAAAATGAAGATTGGATCACATATGATTTAAAAGAATTATCAAATCTTAAAGTTACATCATCGGTAGAAACAAAATCTTAAACAAATCACTGAAGTTATTCAAAACGAATTTAAAAGAATTTCCAGAAAACGTAAAAGAGTTAATGTCACTAAAGTTGTTAGCAATTCTAATATTAGTAGCCCTAATCATGAATCAACTAGCGATATAGAAAAAGAATTATTATTATTTTATTTTATTTTATTATTTGTTTTCAATAAATATTATCTATTCAGGCTTTTGACCGAATAGAATTTTAACATGTCATCATAAATAAGCAAATGTTTTTATTTTTTATTATCAAATTACTTATTCTTATAATCTATTAATTGATGATCCGCGAGTCAACTAGAGAAAATGATCTACAATTATTAAGTAAATATGACGCATTTTAATTAATAAAAATTCCAGTTTGTAAATATGCAGATTTTTTATAATCCATAGGTAAAAATGATGCGATTTAATTAAATTCGTCGTAATTTCAAACTTTAATTACTCAACAAACCTATATATTAATTACACTTTTCACTAATTACCCAACCAACCCTTCCGCTAATTACCCAACCAATCCTTCTACTAATTACCCAACCAACCCTTCTACTAATTACTCAACTAACCCTCTTGCTATTTACCTAACTAACCCTCTTGCTAATTGCTCAACTAACCCTCTTACTAATTACCCAACCCTTCTTCCCATTAGTTAAGAACTAACCACCCAACCTATTAATTAACAACAAACTCACTCTAATTTCAAGATCCAACTTACCTGTTAACAAAATCTAAACTACCTGCTAATTGAGACCCTAAACACTACTAATTCTTTACTTGTTTAGAATCGCCTACCAACCCACCCAGTACTAGTGTTCCGCAAAACTGGATCCAAGTGGATCCGGTTTTGCAGAACACCACCCAGTACTGTCAATGGATACAAATATGAATATATATTAAAGTACTTCATATTTATGAACAAGCACCAGGATAAATCAAAACTTTTATTTTTTAACACTTTATTTTTGATATTTTTAATATTTGATATATTTATTTTCTTGTATTTATTTAGATCATTTACATCATGTTTAAATAAAATTAGGCTTATTTTATTTTTCCGAATTATAATTCAACATAATAAAAATGCTATTGAAAAAATCCTATCTCTTTTTGAAATACGGCACTTATTTGTTAATTTTTTAATTTTGAAACCCATTATATAAGTGCTACTAAGGGAAAATAAGATTTTGGGATTTCAATTAGATAATACACCAGATAAAACTCTTGAAAGTCTTATTTTTCCTCAGCAGCACTTACATTATTTGTATAATGTTCTTACAATGTGCATCTGCTAATACCTAATCCAAAACTATGAGTATAGCATTCTTATAGAGTGCATCTGCTAATGTCTTCTACTAACTATAGAGTTGACACACATATGCTATACATAGATTTGTTAGAAATATCGTTAGTATTGTCTAGCTGTATTAATATAGGTCTGGACATTTTATATCAGACTATAAAAAAATTTAATAAAAAAGAGTTGTTAATTTTTGCCAAAGAAGGAATTATGATCTGTATATACAATATCGGTTTAAGAAAAGCCCAGAAAAGCTAACTTTAAAATATCGATAAATTTTTATTTTTAACTTACATAGTGCTATAAGTATATGTGATTTTATTATTTTGAACAAAAATTTGCAGGAAATTTAATATTTTCTATATTATATGATAGTCGGTAGTGCCGAAAATAGTAACGAAAACTAGCCAGTAATATCAATATCTAATTAATCTCATTCATTATAATATTTAACTGCTTAATAAATATAATCAATTACATCATAATTAATTTGATTTTATTACATAATCGTGCAAAAAATACAATTCATATAAAACCTATCTTGTTCTAATCACTAACCTAATCGCTCACACTAACCCTAAGTCTATTCATCAAAAAACCTTATTTACATTAAGAAAACCCACTATTAATTATAAAAGATAACACCCGACGAAAATATATAGTATAACTTTAGTAATAATACTAAAGTGATAAAATCGTGCTAAACTTCGATGACTTAAGAAATAGTAATACTGTATATAACTCCACGACTCCAAAAATTGCAATATTGAAACAACAACTCTATAGTGGCGAACATACAACTCCACTAATTAATGATAACCTCCAGGAAACAGCAATACCAAACATAACTCTACCAGCAAACAATGAAACAATAATCCAAAGAGGTGACTGTAAGAAAAAAGAAAAAACTAGTTAGTGAATGAAAGAAAAGCAATATTAAGTACTAAATATGACTCCACTAACAAACAACGAAGCAACAATCCAATGATGCAACTATAAAAAAGAAACAACTGATTAGTGAAGAAAGAAAAGTAATATGAAGCACTGAACACAACTTCACCAGCAAGCAATAAAATGATAGCCCAATAAAGCGATTATAAAAAGGCCGTATAACATCAATAACCAATTATAGTGACACCAATGACACAACGATAGTACTGAATACGACACTATCAGCAAACAATGAAATAACCATCTAACAACGTGGCTATAAGAAAAAAAAATTGGTTAGTAAAAGAAAGCAATACAAAACACTGAACACGACTCCACTAGCAAATAATAAAACTATAGCCCAATAAAACAATTATAAAAAGACCTTTACAACCCCTACAGCAGCAATAACATGGCACTAGCAAAAGTGAAACACTACTACACCAATTACGACGACACCCACGACGTAAATAGAGGCACCAATAATGAAACAATGCTATAAAAAAAAATAAATAAATTGGTTAGCTCAACAGCCAACTACTCGAGTCTGAAGCTGTTACAGGTAAATTTATTCAAAAAAAAAAAATCCTATTAACTTATAGACTACAGAGGTGACACACATGCAGTATGAATTATTGTTAGTATATCATGCTCTAAAAAAGTCAATGTAGTTTTCTTGCAAAGTGTGCCTACTAATACTATCCCTCCTTGTAATCTAAAACTATAACACATATCTTAAAAAAGTTAGTGTAGCATTTCTATAAGATGATCTAAAAGTACTGTTACTTAGGCCCAAGGAAAAAGTTAACGTGATATTCTTGTAAGGTGTACTATAATATTTAGACCCCAATCTAAAATTATTAAAAAAAAAAGTTAGCATGGAGTTTTTATTAATTCATTCACTAGTGTATTTCTAATATTTAATTTGCAAACAAGTTAGCTTGATATTCTTGCAAACTGCACTTGCTAACACTTCTTTTCTTCTTGATCTAAGAGTATTAGTGCTCTATTCAAATCAATATAACGTTCTTTACAAAGTGCACCTGCAAGATTATTATTCTTGCATATTGTATTTGCTAATACCTTTTTGCCTCTTGAAGATCAAGCATGTCAAGAGGCATTGGAACAACTATAAAAAAAAAAAAGATTAGATAATATGAACCTTTATTTGATCACACGATATACAACAATCTACTATATATTAAGATTTCATACTTGTACAATGTAATTAGTAACATTCTGTGGATCTAGTTCTTGATATTATTTTTAAGCATAATGTACTTCTAAAAATTTAAAAAAAAAAAAACAACAAATTTATTGTAAAATGTATTAAGAATGAAGTATTGCTAATTACCTTATTATCTAATTAAGACAAGGTTTATTATAGTAAATACCGTGTGCTTACAAAGTAAAAATTACCAAGAAAAAAAAATATATATTTAACAATCTTATAATCGAAAGCTTACAGTTTTGCTCTATCATTTGTGTTACTTTAATACCATATTTATATAAAAATTTTGTAACTTTATATATAACCTAAAAATTTTAATTCGGGCCTTGTCTATATATGATCTCTGTCACATTTTTGTCCAGATGACTGGCGGATCATCAATTAAATATATTTCAAAATGTCCAAAGAAAAAGAACTAAAAAAAGTAAGTTGGCGAAGTTCATCTTACTTAGTATTTATGATTTAAGTGCACACTCGTCAAGAAATCTAGAAAAATATTCTGAAATAAATTTTTTTATAAAGATATTTTTTATTGGATTTTAGGAACTTGACTTAGATTACAAGTTACTACTTGGTATTGCTGCAGCTTACAAACATAGACGGAATCAAATCTTGTATTAACTTTATTTTATTTTTAGTTAACAAATTATACAATAGGTCATAATTTTGAAAGAATTATTCGAAAAGTTCTTAATATATTTAATATTTTAACAAATGAAATTAGAGTTACTCAAGGAGATGATGGTATCAATATTATCGCCACATATAGGAAAAATATTGTTTTAATTTAATGTAAAAGTGCTGAATCAGCTATAACTGTAAAAATTGTAAAAAATTTTAAAAGCTCTCTTTCAAGATATCCAGATAATTCATTAGGAATTATTGTTTATGATAGTAAAAGAATGAAAATAAAAGATATATTGTGGCAAAAGCTAAAATTTTTGTAAATACTACAGAAAAAAATTTAAAGATTTGTAGTAAAAAAGATGTTGTAAAACTTATTGAAGATTTTTTTAGTGTCGAACCAGAAGAAAAAGATATTATATATACAAATTTAAAATTTGATGAATTTAAATTAGAAGAATTTGGGGTTGGGATTCTGCGGCCTAGTAGTCTAGGCACCCAACCCTTTATGAGCAGGTTTCGGGTTCAAGTCCTAGTAGGTACGTTTACTTACGAATATTTGGAAGTATCTGCCGTGGGAAGTCCAAGTGAATACAGGTCTGGATTAGGAATTTCCGGAAGAAGGTCCATTGTGGAGTAGTTGGCACTACGTGTAATAGTGGTTGTTACAAAAGGTTCTATTACACAAAGGTTGTGCGTGTAAATCCGCGATTGGCAAGGTAGCACCAACAACCCCTAAGGCGGCATT